CCAAGCATTGGAACAGGCTGCCCAGGGAAGTCGTGGAGTCATCATCCCTGGAAGTATTTAAAAGACACGTAGACGTGGTGCTTAGGGACATGGTTTAGTGGTGGACTTGGCAGTGCTAGGTTAACGGTTGGACTTGATGATCTTAAAGGTCTTTTCCAACCTAAACGATTCTATGCTCTGACAGCTTTTTTCACATACCTGAATGAATATTTGTCAGTACATTTTCAAACAGTCCACAGTCAAAGAGTGATATCACCGTCTCTTCATACTCTGGGGAAAGAGATAATTTGATTTAATATTACTGAACAAAAGTTTACAGAACCCTTGCATTAATGCAGAGCCCTACATTAGAAGTAGCACGAAACAGTACTTATTTTATATCATACCGATTGCTTGAGGTTTTAAGATATCTTCCTTCTCATATATTGAGAAAGAAGGATCAATTTCTCAATTCTACTTTCTTTTTTTTTTTTTAGTTTCATACAGAAAACAGGAAAAGGGACCTACCTGTAATTCCCTTTCTGGGTCTGCACCAGGTGAACAGTCGTGTCAGGACTGCACGTGTAATGGCAGGACTGACCATACCAATTCCTCTTGACAGACCATGTGACAGGTGGGACAGTGCTATCGCTGTTCGATGTTAAAAACCAGCCCAAAATTATGTCTCAGTTTCATAACTGAGGCTTCCAATGAAACAAAACAAACACCTACAGAGTTTGCATGACCGCTAAGAGGTTTGCTTAATGGTGAAAACCTTTGAACCCCTAATGTGCCCTGGACTTCATTACTGCTTCTAGCAGCTGCTGCCATGTTACACGCAAGCTGCTCGCGAGGAAGATTTAGCCAGGTGGGACATTTCACTTTCCATGCATGTGCTTCAGTTACTTTGCATAAATTAGCATCCTTTATCCAAAGGTATTATTCATAACTTTGTAAAACTGGGAGGACAATAGGAGAGGAAGGTTTGAAATTCTCTTTTTTAACTGTGTTGTGGACAAAGCAGCATTAGAGTGGAATCCTCCAAGAACAAAGTGCTTCATACAAGCTGATAATTAAACCCATAAAACCCCCAAATACACACTAACAGTTGACAAAATGTACATACTCAGGGATTTCTCCCTCAAAAGAGAGGGCTGATTGATATTAACAGGTAGCTGGTCCCTCTGTGAAGCTGTAAGAACAACACAGACTCATGATCCAAATAAAACCTCCTGGTTCTTTTCAGGACCTCTCTCTTCTTCAGTGCCTGGGAGAAGAGGTCTGGCTGAACCTACCTATGCTTATGCCAATGGGTAAAAGGTGGCTTCAAAAATTCAAAGTTTGAAGGCCTTACTAGAGCATGCTGAGTTGGCAGCTCTTCCCCTCTGCTGACACGGGTATACCAAAAAATACTCACTCTCCACATGCTGTGCAGCTGCAGAAATAAGACAGGACCCAGTTATTTGGCACTACAGAAGTATCCTCAGGAAGGTGACCCAGGGCCGAGTGCCTGGCATTCAGATCAGCATTTCTGCTCTGAGAGCAGAGTCCCCCATGGGTCTCCATACCTGTTTCTGAAGTGTTGTCATCCATCAGTTTCTCCTGCGCCAGGTGAAGTGTGTCCAGCATTTCTTCAAATATGTCATCCAGAAGCCCGGCTTGCTTGCATTTCCTAAGAAAGTCTATTCGGACTGTTAAAACATAAAAACACACACTCTCATACAGAAGTGATCCTGACCACAGCTGCATGGGCTTCACTCGCTCGCTTCAGAAACAAAGACTTTGGTTTAAGTCCCTCTTCCAGTAACAAACACTTATGCAAATCTGTGGCTCCTCCAGTTACCCATTCAGCCCTTTTCAGTGGGAACAAAAATGTGGTCAAGCAAACGTAAACATTGCACTGGGTATAGAATTACCTAAGCTCTAGATTTGGCTTCATTCATCAAAAGCAAATATCTCCACAACTCTAAATGCACCATTCCTAAAGCCTCCTGATATCCCCTAGTATAGGAAAGCAAGTGCTTTGTCTTGCCTTTTTTTTTTCTTCCAGTCCTCAGGACCACACCATGGACTGAACAGGCTAAAGGACAGAAAATAGTGCAAGAAGTGAATCAGTATTGGATTTGGTAAGAGAATTAAGTCTATTTTTACTCCAAGTGATCCAGGCATTAAACTTGGTTATTACAGCCCATTTTATACACCTACTTTGTCAGATTTGGACTGCTAGGGAAATAACTACCTATTTTTTCTTCATCTCAGAGCAGCAGGTCAGTGACAGGTTTCAGTAAGATCAGTTCAATGGGCTGTTCAAAAGGAAAGGGCTATCAGACAGCTCACAGAAGTCTGCCAGTCTCCATTAAAAACAATGTTACTTTTTACTGGAGACATTTGTGAGAAAAGAAAAGTCATTTCACTTACACCAGATGCCCTACAAGTATTTCAGGATTCTTTATAGGTTCCCTGTTCTTTATAGTGGTAGTAAAAATTCAGAAAAAACATTAGGCAGCCACCTACTGTTACAATACCGTGCCCATATACTAAGCATAGCCATGGGAAGGCGAATAATCACCACTAATGCCTTCCAAACTTCCAAGCGACAGCATAATCCCGACAAGCAATTGCAGCAGGACTTTTGGGGTAACATGAAAACTGCAGAACTGAAGGATGGGTCCAGTGGTTGATTTCACTGTTGTAATACCATATTTATGCAGGAAAATACCACATTGTGCTAAGCACCCTATGTACATCTAGCGTTCAAAATAACATAAGCGTGCGGTGGCAGCAATAACTGTAGCAGCGTTTAGCAAGTCCCATTCCTACCCGGTGAGCCAGAGCTCCTGTTCAAGGTGTGCTGAACTCCTCTCTCACTGCTGGGTTACTGCTCAAGCCCCCGCTCCTCACAGCACCTCCTCTGCTAACCCATTCCAGAGCACCACCTGGCAGAACTGCACCCTTCTCCTTCAAGAGGAGCTCAGCCCAAGGAGACCGAGGTGAAGAAGAAATGATTACATTTTACATTTAACTGTACTGATATGGAGGCGGGGGCAGTCAGGCAGAGGCACCCCTGTTTGCTGGAGACACACAGCTGAACACAGCAGCCAGCCAGAGCAGGGGCATTCCCGGGTGAATTCACCGGTTCACATCACACAGCAAGTCTCGGCCAAAGCACTGAGGTTTGTTTGCCGCACAACTATTAAAACCTGCACAGTCACTCTGCAAATCAGACTTCCGCTCCCTTGCCAGAGCTTGGAGAGTCACTCGTCTCGGGAGAATAATAAAGATACCTTTGCAGCATCGCTGCTGTCAACCATCTCCAAGCTCTGAATTTCAACGTAACAGATCACAGTATCCCCTAGTTGTTCTATAAAGTGAGTCGCACCTTTATGCCTGTTGTTTTTTCTTTTTAGTATCCGTAAACTGTTTTCTTCCGCTGTCTCTTCTGCGCTCTGTAAAAAAATCAAAACAACATATTTTTACATCATACTGACATTTACTGCTTTGTTTTCATTATCTTACCTCTGTATTAGCAGAAAGATAAAAAGCAGCCCATACTTCTGCGAACACAGTCAGCTTCTCTGCACAGCTAATGATATTCCTCTCCAGACATTCCATTTTTAAGAAGGGAAGCAAAAATCGCTTCAAAGCACAAACTCTTTAAGAAAAGCCCGACACCTGGGACACCACCCTCCTTAATTACTGCATTTGCAAATGGCACAGATGTTAACAAATGCCTACTGCTAACTCCCAGTGCAAATGATGTTTAGCTCCCTAGACCTGATGTAACACTAGAAAGGATTTGAGAAGAGCGGGGGAATATTTTTCTTTTCCTTTGGGCAGGACACAGTCATTCTCTGCTGTTCCACGTCATAGCGCAGTACTACAAATAATTCTTAAGCTCTGCCACAAAACGCCACCAGTGTAAAAATGCATTGCTTACTCAATGGTAAACTATCCCACAGTGCTAAATCCTGGAGCCCCTCAGCTTCTTATTTGCAGTGTTTGTACTGATTTCCGAGATCACTAGCACTGGAGAGCAGCAGAAACAGCACATTACCATGGGTAACAGGTCAAATGAATCTCAGTTACAATACCAGGAACGTAAGTGGATTTACAGCTGAGAAATTCTTGGAGACAAATAACCTACCCTTATAAGAGTACTACATAAAAGCTGCAAAGATCATCCACATCCCCTCACATGACCTCCCTTTAATCTCAAGACCTGGAAAAGGCAGAAGTTTTTCCCCAAGGAAAGCTGGATGCTAATCCCTCTAGAAAGGAGAAATCCCACCCCCGCTCCCCCCAAGAGTCAATGGGAGTTCCCATGCATACTTCTGTGGAGCCAAGAGAATCACCTCAAAACTTAGAAAACCTGTAAGTACAGCTTATTTTAACAACAGCCTCTAAAACAACTCCCCCTCCAACCAGAGGGATGCTCTGCTTGATAGCTCCCCAACCCTTGGGAAGGCCATCTTCACTGGCAGAGCTGAGAACTACCTGATCTGCAATGAAAATGTGCCAGATTTACCACAAGCGCAGGCTCACAAATGAGTAAGTGCCAGTTTAAAAGGCCAAGTGACTCATCAAAAGCAGTTTTTCATGGAAACTGAGTGAAGCGCTAAGCAAATCTGAGTGCTTCCAAAGAAAAGGAGCCCCCAAAGGGAAGCTCTTTCTGGTCATGTCAAGATCACAGCCACCAAGTCAGCCTGGTTCGGAGGTTCCTATCACATTTGTGCCGTGTTACCTGAGGGCAGCATTGGCTCTGCCTGAAGCAGCTCCAAATGCAAACAGTTTTGTTTTAACAGAATGACAAGATCAAAACAAGGCAGCTGTAAAGGAAAAGTTATTGCTTCTGTGAGGAAGTCTCTTTCTGAATACACTGCCAAAATACTTCACTAACGAAGTCCTTTGCTATAGCAGATGTGGGTTCCTGTTTTAGAACTACTTAATTCAGAATTACCATTTGTTCCATGATGGTGGAAGATTTCAGTGCATGCCTTCTCCTCTTATTAGCTGCATCTAGGAATCAAGAAACAACAAAGTAACAAATATGTGTCAACTTCAAACCGACGATTTCACATCATTCAAATTCTTTTTCCCAAAAAGCTACAGAAGTAAGGCACTTCGGGTGGCAAGGCAAGAGTATGTTTCAGCTTCCCCAAATACCTGACATTTCAGTGGAATTCACATTATTTCCATGTAAGAAAAATTACAAGCCTGAACCATTAGGAAGAAGTGCAAATCACTGTAGCATTAGGGTATCACTTTGCCTTTTACCTCAGTAAATCAAACCCCAGTTTTTAACATAAGATTTTTCACTGTGGCAGAGTGAACTTATTCTCCCTGGCAGCAGCACTACCTCTAAGTGGTAAAAGCTTCAGGCAAATTTATGAAAGATGACTGGTTTTTTTCCAGCCAATTCTTGTTTATGTTAATACACCCTCAAAACTAAGACTGCATAAAGAATTATTTCAGGTGTCCCAAAGACACGCAAATGGCATTAGGTTTTTCATCATTACGACGACCCTCCTAGAAAGCCTCCAGAGGCAATTTGACTTGTAAGTTTAGTATTATTTATGCTACAAAGTGGTTTTAGTGACATGGTATGAGATCTCCGCAAAATCATCTGCTTTTGCTCTGTCCTTTCTATTAGCATGCACCAGCCTCTCTCCAACATCATAACTGGCAGCTGCTGAAAACAGCTACAGCATCACAAGCAGAGAAGGCTAACTCTGGCAAGGAAGACATGGCAGGAGCAGAGAAAGCTAGAGAAGAGTTCAGCCACCCACCAAAACCTGAGGGTTTTAAACGCAGTGGGGTTATATGCCCCCTTCCTGTTTAACTCTACATCCTTTGGGCAGCACTTAGTAAGGTTTTTCCTGTTAGAAATCATCCTATTAAGAGGAATGAGGAGTTACTGTTGGTACAGGAAGGCTGCTGAAACAAGTTTGGGTTTTGGGTACCGGTGCTGTACATTTGCATTTTTCATGGCCTGAAAGGAAATCATAGCCTCTTACTTCATCCAAAATAGAGCTGGGTGGCCTGATTTGGAGCAATCTAGGAGATGCTGGTGTAGGTACAAAGTGTTCCTTGCTGTCTAGCACATCTTTGACCTGTGGTAGGATTTTCTCAGCTCTTCCTGATGTTTGCTTTAGGGATGTCTTATAAAACGAGAGGAACACAGTCCGAAGAGCAGCCCAACTCTTCCTGCTCCCCACAGTGTTCTCCGCTCCTCTACGTTTGTCAGCCTTTACTCTGGGCACATCCAACACTTCCAGTTAAGCAGAGGTTGGAGCCTGTTTCCAAGTCCAAACTGCCCTCCCATCCCTGCTGCACAGAGCTGCGAGATTGGAGGATTTCCAATCACAAAGCAGAGCCCTGACATTTCAGCACAGAAATAAGGAGACCTCTTGGCCCCTAAGGCACCCTATCCCCTTCCAATCACACAGCAGAGCCCTGACATTTCAGCACAGAAATGTTGTCTGGACCAAGAACAAGGGGGTGTTCCTTGACCCCATTTTCTCTAAGCTACTGGGGAAAACAGGCCTTGAGAGGCAGCCCTTTTGTACCAGCTCCTGCTCTCACACGGCCCAGCGCTGGCTCAGCCTGCCCCAGGAGAACAGCTGAGCTACTTCACCTGGGTTGGATCCTGAAAGTCAAAACTCTACCATGGAGCCACAGCGCTTCCATCCCAGCCTGTCTCGGTCCCCGCCCTGTGCGGACCTGCAAACACCCTCAGCACACGTGTCCCCTGCCTGCCCAGATGGGCCAGGAGTGGGCCAGAGTACCTGCTACTTCAGCCAACTAATCAGCAGATACTCCTGGCTATTGAGCACCACGCATGCGTCTGAGAGCTGCTCAGAGGCAGGAGACATTGGGCTTAGGGAACCAAGCATCATTTACCCAACTCTCACAGCTGCTCCCCACCTCCTGGGGTACAGCTACTCTCTCAGACAGAGGTGGGAGAAGCTCATTCAGGAGGCAAGGCAGACACTGCCAGCAGAATCCATTTGCCCCTCATAAACAGAGGGTTTCCAAATTAAGTGGCTCTGGAAGATCTCCTCTAGGAGAAAACTCTCTTCTCAGGGAACAGGCCATACATTGTATATGCAGCACCTGAAGGCACTAAAACCTTCAACCTTGTAAGATTTAAGCCTTCCTTATGAAGGAGGTGACCTAATGCCTTAATCTCATCTCATACTGGAAACGAAGCAATCCTGGCCCTGTCTAGTACCTGGGCAGGAGACCACCTGGGACCCTGGACAGACCCAACAAACTAACAACCATTAGACCACAGAAATCAAATTAATTTTAAAAAGGGAGGGATTGTCAGGCCTCAGAACTACAGATAAGTAAAAAGCAAAACTACTACGTGAAATAAGAAGCTGCATTTGTTTAGTGAACCATAGCAATATCAGGAGTTAAACGGACTGTATGTCTGGCTAAGAAGCCCCAGGCCTTATGGCTAAAAGTTTAAATGATAATCACCTAACCCACCCCTTGAGTGGCATCAGGGTGGAGCCAGACTTTGTCAAGAAGATTAGCCAAAGTTTGCTAGACTTCAGTGGGAGCACAACACTCTTAGCATTAGTGCTCACAGTCCGACTGAGCTTAACTTCAAAGTGAAGGCCAGTCTAGGACTCACTCCGTTTTGAGCAGGATTGTATGCATTAGGTTAACAAAGTCACAGCTTTGGTTGGTTAATTCAGTGAGATTCCTGACTACCCCTGAATCAGCAAGGACCAGGACTGCCAAATTAAGCTGCATTTCTGTAGCAAAGGAAGCAATTCTTAAACAGGCGTTGTGTAACCCTTTTGTTACACTTCAAAAGCTCTTTGGGATCCTTCAGAATGAAAGGCCCTACATAAAAAACTACTGCTGTGAATATGGAAGATGCAAATATGAACGTTTTAACGTAACTACAGATAAAAATCCCAAGGTGACCACTCCTGTAACAGCCCCCTCTTTGCTAATCAAGTGCAAGCTTGCACATCACTCGTTAGCGTGGCTCTCATCCCTCACGTGGATTTTACAAGCTGCTTGGGCCTACCTGCCCGCACACAGAATAATTCCATGAAGGATCAGGTCCACAGTGTTTTAAGTCAGTTTTGAGGGAGATTTGGAGAAGAGAAAATATAAACATTTCCTACTTCAAAAAACCTTCTCGATTTTTGTGCATATGCATGGATCTCAACCAAACCACTCCTGCAAGATTAGAAAACCACCACTTGATATAAAGGTGGAGTAACATTTATTTTGTTCAAATGAGTTATTGACTGTAGGATGCAAACTTTTAAAACAAATGAAATCAACGAAGCCATTAAAGAAACTCACCATAGTGATTGGTCCTATTGCCTGGGTCATGTTTTGGGCAGAACACTCTAAAATTTAAGTTCAATTTTAAGAAAAAGAGAAAAAGTATTAATAAATATGTAAACAGTTATGCTGACTGATTTTAACAGATATTTTCCCCTCTTTTCATTGAATGTAAATTGAAAGACGCTTAAAAAAATTATCAGGATTTTTGTTCAGCCTTACCCACCTAGAAAAGCACCTGCTGTAAAGTCACATACATGCGCAAGCTTGTATTCGTACTTTTAGAGCCTCGGTGGACTCTGAACACTGAAGCTTTGAATTATCAGTTCCATTACCCCACTCTGTTTGGACTTGCTCACTGTTTAAATCCTGAGTCAGACACATTTCATCTGGTGTGGCAATCAAACACTGTGGCAGAGGTACTCTTATTGAAACGCCTTATTAAAATGAGATTCATGCTGTCAAGATGAAATACCACAGTACTAATATTGCTTGATTGTAGCTACTGCTGTTCTGCCCCCTTGCCCTGTACCACTCAGGCCAGGTCCAGAACCTCTTTAGATGTATCTGCTTACCAGTGAGCTTCAACTTATAAGCCCTGCCTGACATGCTGGCACAGCCACACAGCACTGCACTGCCACGTGCAGTACCGGTTACTTGCCTGGAGACCTCTGTGCCCCTCCATTTCCACTGCCCAGTGCTGATGAGGTGGTCCCCAAATCCTGAGGAAGTAGGGCACCCCGTCTGAGATCCAGTAGCTTAAAGCTGTTCAATCCATTCATGCCTTAAAGACTTTAGTAATATGCGAGATGGGAATATTTTCTAGGAGAGCAATGTGAATTCCTTGGAAGATGCAAAATGCAAGAAATACAGCTGGAAATATTCCTTATCTTCTGGATACAATAACGTGTACAGAATGTGAACCAGCTTCTATAATATGCCTTTCTTACAGAAGGATCCCAAATCACTTTTTAAGCAAAACTGCCTTGTCAAGAGTGTGGTTTGGCAGATCTCTTCATTACAAATCTATTTGCCAAGTCTAATGCTCAAGTGTTTGGAAGCAATTTTTAAAGGGAACTGCATTTGCTAGGACATTTTCTAATTATTGTCATTCTTTTATTTTAACAAAATAGAAGCACTGACCTTAGAAACGCAGTCTGTTTCCTTGACGAGCCAGCTTTTTTGCATGAAATTCATTTTGATGCACAAAAAGAGATTTATGCATGCCTAACAATTCAATCAGAAAGCTAAGTACTGGAGGCACCTTATTTACAACTCTAAATTTCTAATATTGCCCTTTGGAGGTCGGTTTTTTCCTCCCCTCCCTTTAATTCTATTCTGTCCCAGTTAAAAACAACCTTCCTAAGTACAAGAACATCTTATAAAGAACAGACAATACCTTTTACTACTCAAGCCACTTTATTTGGAAGCACTTCCCTACTATCATTTTTGCAAGATGGCAGTACAAATTACGCTTATTTCCCCACCTCTGCTCTTACTAGCCACTTCCATAGCACTGTATGCCTTCTCTTTTTTGTTCTGCTCTATTTGTTTTGATAATCACTGCTCATCATCACAACGATGGCAACTCAGAATTTGAAAACACCATCTCTCTCTCGAAGGAAGTCTCTCTTTTGGTATGCTTTTCAGCATGTTAGATTTCACCATGAAAAAGTGTGTGGGGCTGTCAATCCACGTCCACTGTTTTTCAATTCCTGTTAGTCTTCTCTCCAATAATTTCAGGCTAGCGACAAATTTTGTGCTTTATTTATGCCGCTGGTACTGTGCAAAAGTCTTTGGGTTCAAATCCCTGAAACCTGCCTCACCATCTTTCTCTAATCCAGTCCTTTTTCGTCTCTTCAATACAGGTTGCTATAGCCTAGTTTCCTGTATTTCTTTATAGGACAAGCAACTAGTCTCAGTGACTTAATACAAGGCATTTTTAAGGGTCCCTCTTCCAAACCTCCAAGGTCACCAGCTCAGAAAACCACCAAATCATACTATATATTCAACCACTTCTTTATCAGTTTGTATGTAGACTGTTATCAGTCCCATTAATTTTTCAACATCTTGAGAAGTTCAGTCTTCTTCAGCCTGAGGTATCCTTTCTAAAGCTATATGATGAGAGCCATTTATTCTGTGATCACGGAAAGTTTCCATCTTCCCAGCTACACTCTTTCATGGGCTTTGCAGAATCCTGAAGGCTTTATAAGCATAAACTAAACATACCATCTTCCCTATACAGATGGGCTTACAGCCTTGCAGAAAGACGTATTTATTTTGGACTGAGCGCCCTAGTGAAGCAGCCAGGAGTGCAAGTGTTTTGACACAAAAGGACCCACCTTCCACTACTACTAAGGACTGCACTAGTCCATGTCTTCCTGAAACAAGTAGTGATTAGATGGTCTACCAGGTTAATCTAAGACTAACATGGCCTGTGATCTCTCTGGCCTTGCACAGAAATGGACATCAGGGCTTTTATGCACCTCAGACTTTACCTTCAGCACTCCAAAAGGTCCCTAAAGTCCCAATTTCTCAACCCCTTCATCTGCATCCTCCAAACAACTCGTTCCATCTAATGGCAATGCAGGCAGCCCAAGGGCAGCGGAAACCAGGACTAGCATGATCAGGACAGAAAATTTACTTAAAGTCTGTTTAATTGTGTTAATGCTAGCAAAGTACTTGAAACATAAGAAGGTATTTGGCAGGAATACAAAGTTCTCTGCTGGCATATGGAGGGAAAATGACCAGAATTTGCCTAATGTGAACAGACCTAGAAGTGCTATAGCCTGGTCTGTGCTCAGACAACATTTACTGAAGCTTCTGAACCAACAGAACTTGAGTGACATTAAAAAAAATCTTGGTCCTTGAAGACTAGCTAGATAGCCAGTAAGGACTGACTTCCTCAGTTCTGGCCTCGTGATCTTTCAGGTGTGTTACAGGCTCAAACACTGAATAGATTCCTTCCCACTGCTGTGATGTTTTCCTGTGAAAGGAAAACATTTCCCCTATTGCTTGGGAACAGAGGATCAAGCATCACTTTAAGAGAGGAGAACATATTTCCTTTTTAAAAAACTTTAAAAACCACACAATTTTTAAGTCTCTCTTCCTGACACCACTACCAAAACTTTGACAATAATTAGTTAGAAAATATTTGGTTAAATACCGGTAGACTCCATTTACTTCATCAGTTTCTATTGCTGCATCATCGCAGCGTGCACAAAAGTAGTGATAACTTCTGCGACAGGCTCTTTCCTCACATCCCACAGTGGCTCCTTTCTTACGACAGAAGTTGCACACCTGGAACAGGATGAGGTTTAGCAGGTAAGCATTAAAGGCAGCTACTGAAAATCTTGCCACAGAAGGCAAATACTATCCTCTGTGGGAAAATCAAATCTTTCATTGCAAGTCGCCTCTGTATAACTCCTCAGGCAAGTTCACTCCTGCAAACTCGTACCCTGGTCATTATTTCAGCCACTTTTTTTGCTATTTTGACTCTATTTCATACTGATGAATTTGTAAAATGATGCAGAGCGCTATGTGGGGGCACTGGGCAACTTTCCCCCCGCCTCCCCTAAATCTTGCCCGAGTTATTTCAATTCCTATTGGTATTAGTGCTTGTATTTATGTTTTCTAGGCTAACTTCATAATGAAAAGAGTTCCACCCAGGAGGTAAGGGAAGAGGGCAGCTGAGGACAAAGCCAGTAAGAAAAACCTCATACAAATAACCTTCCTTCTGCTAAAACCAGAAGGTGTTTCCCTTTACACTTATGGATTGCATAATTTTGTTTCAGGCACTGGCTTAGTCCTTTACCAAAGTCTCTTAGGAAACTTAGACTAAGGACTTAGTCTCTTAGTCTTTTGTCTTGGGGGAGGGGGGGAAAAGAAAAACCAACACATTTTAATACAAAATGAACTAAATTTCACCAAATATAATGTCAAAACAATGCTTCTAACTTTAAATCTGTAATTTCCCTAATCTTAGTAGAACAGAAGGACCAAGTACTCTTCTGCATTTTTTTAAGCATAAAACAGGCCAGACAACCTTCAGTACTATGAGACAGGACTAAGTGCAGATTCAGAAAGAAACTCCTTACCAGCCGCTTTCCTCTCTTGAGTTCTTTCAACACTGATGCCACATCAAACCTTATATCCAGATTATCTGGGTTATACTCTTCAGATTCCACAAATCCTGAGGAAAATAACTGAAGACAAAAGAGACGATATTAAGAATTAATAGACAGACTCGGTCACCAGTGCAGAAAAGAGGGGAAGGGTATATCTTTTCTTCTTGCACTTGCCCTACCTAAGAAGGCTGATTTTTCTCTGTGTTTTTAAGAGGTTTCACCTACACTGAACAGGGAGCTGTGCTTAAACCTTTTCCCAGCCAGAAGAAGTTCCTCTGTCTACATAGGAGATTTCACACGACCTGAAGGTCAACTAAGAAAAGATAACAGGGTGAGAAAGTGAACTTAGTATGAAATGTGAATGAAGAAAGTCTGGAAGTCCAGGCTACCCAGAGTAAGGAGGAGAAGCTCTTCGGCTGACAGACCTCCACACCTTGAACATCTTGTTATCTGCCCAGTTTTTCAGCCTTACAGCTAGATGCAACATTTCTCTGTAATAAAGTTTCCACACAGTCCAATGCTGACAACAGTTGACTGCATGAGAAACATAGGAACATTGTACAAAGCCTGGGAGAAACCCACAAAAAATGTATACATGCACATTCAGGCCACTTTAATTCCCACAGGAATGCTGAGCCATGACAGTAAGTGAGGAAGGGGAAGTTCTTAGCAACTTTTTTCTAATCACTATATATAGCTAATTCCAAACAAAAGCGAGCTACTCTTATGTCAACTGGCAGGCACAGTCTGTCTGCTCAGAAGGTGATAGCTAACTGCAAAAAACCCAAACAGCACAGAGAAGCCGAAGGCAGAGAAATTAGTAAAGTTGTCGCGCAAAAAAAAAAAGAGAGCTAGAGAGAGAAAGTTTCAACATTGTAGCAACATTATAGTTCTAACAAAACCTGTTCCAAACAAAACACCCAAGTAACACTGTAAAATAGGTATCAGATGTTTCTGAAACATTCTGCTAAAAAAAAAAAAAAAAGCAGAAGAAAAATAAAGATAGAAAAATAAAGATGTAAACATAAAACCTGCGAGAATAAGGCAGCTGGAACAGTGAAAGCCAGAAAGCTGTTCCAGCAGCAGATCCATCTCCTGCAGTAAGCGACCCTCACTGAAGGGAAAATATGGCATCTGTAATTGATTCTGCACACCAAGAACCAGCGCCACTAAGATCCCAGAATAAAGGGAAGGCATTTTGACAGCAAGAAGAGTAAATACATTCTAGGATCGTAGCATGCTTAGAGCTTCACAGATATTTTTATACAATCAACTTCTGCTATTTTTATTCCTTATTTTACATAAGGCACAGACTGGCAAGTTTTTTTACCTTGATATATCAAGTGATGTGAATATTTTCCTGCAAAGGTTTAAGTAAGCACACAACTTTCTGTGGTCTGAGAAGCCTCATTCAATTTAGTGTCTCAAGAAGGCCTATTCCTACTGCTAGACTGTGTGTCTAGAACTGTTGATCAGGACAGACACACATGAAAACACCACAAAACAACGTGTCCAGCTGTGCAGCCGTGTCCTCCTCCTCCTCCCCCTCTCCAAAATTCTGGCCAAGCCCTGTTGCTTTCCATAGCTTTTCAATCTAATATAAGCTTGCTGGTTTGGGTAACTAACCATTCAGACACCATTGTAGAGTCAAAAATAGACAAGCAGTGGAAACTTCCCCTTTAGCCCTTCTTCTCCATTCCTGTTAGATACCGACCAACTAAAAGCCACTCACCAGACAATCCTGATGAGCTGCAATATTTCGCTCTTTGGCAATATACATTACAGAACCAGCCTCCCCGTCTGAACAAAACGCACATGTTCTTCTCACCATCTTCGCCATTATCCGGAAAACACCTAGAGCAGGAAAACTGGGACAAAACATAAAGCAATTGATGCAACTATCATACGCCAAGCAGGATGAATAGAGGAAAGCAGAGCTTGCTAGCACTTGCCCTCTAACTGCTCCTTCACCTACATCCCCTGAACTTTGGTGCTTTGCTCCTCCAGCAACAACTACTAGTAGAATAGGCAAAGCCCGCTCTTGGGCCAGCGCTGGGATGGAAACCAGCTCCCAGGAGCTCCAGCAGTTAGAGCAGGAGGAAAACTGGTTTCTTTCCTCTTGGAAAGTCACTAACAAGTCATAAGGGGTAATACAAGAGTTTTCAAGCTTGCTCGGCCAGCAAGTCATGCCCTAGATGTGAAACGTCGGCAATACCTGCTCCAACAACAGGCCCAAGAGCGGGCCAGCAAGTCATGCCCTAGATGTGAAACCCCTTTTATTTGGAGGAGGTCAATCATTCATAGCAGTGCTTTCCTTAAGCTAGTTCTGCCACATGTGGGTCTGCAAGTCAACCGAGGAGAGTCCCCAAACTTTTCCAGTGCCTTCCAGGAGTTCATAGAAAACAAGGAAGAAACACCAATTCCTTACTGTAAAAAGGATGTAGCAAAGAAGCGTGGAGAGGCTAGCAAGTAAAAAGGGGCAGAAGGCAGAATCAGAAATGAGAGATTTGAACATTCCCTCTCAATGAGGTGGAGCGCTAACATGAGTGACATATTATCATGTATCCTGGGATTTGCCCAATGCACACCTGTTCCCTTTTTCTGGCCATATCCACTCAAGTCTTAATTGTTCTTCTTCACACAGTCTCTCTTTTCCCTCAGCAGCTGCAAAATTTTAAGGCCAGCTATTTATTTCACAAAACAGTCTAAATGCTTCTGGATAAGCCTTTACCCACATCCCCCACCAGTAGTTTAGAGCATCATGCCACACATTAGTAGCAGAAGTTTTACTTTGTCTGTAGTTTCTGTGCAAGTCCACTGCAGAAATCTTCAACAATTTCCCACTCCTAGTAGGTGTGATACTCCAAACTGCCCTTTGCTGGAGACGTCACCTCTGACAGCACAAACTCCTGTAGGATAAGGGTAAGAAAAGTCTGCTTTTACTTTCAAGAAATAAGAAGATTTGAAGGTAAATTATTCTAGTGAGAGAGAGGCAGTAAGGTCCAAGTACAAAACGGGCAGGAAATCTCACAGTCTAGCAAATCTTGCAACCTTTCTGTGGCTTTCAACAGCCAACCTCTGTTTTCATTAGTTCCCATCTCCCTTCCATAAAACGGAGGGGATAGTCTCAAGTGAGAACAACACCAGACTAGAAGGGGATTTTTTTTTTCCTCTGGCTCTGCCACTGAGAATTTACTTAATCACAGCAAGTCACTTCGCCTCCACACACATCCGGGGTTTTTTCCCCCATCCTTCTATCTCTTGTAAGCGAGGTAGGGTAGAGACTGATTTCCAATATCCATCTATACAGTGATCATCACATCAGTCTCAGAACTTAAGCATTAAATAAATACGATAGAAAGAAACAGAAATGTATAGAAATAGAAATATTAGAAATAGAATAGAAAACAAAGACAGAAAGAAATTAAAAAGCAGAACAAGCTAGAGTTTGAACGGTCTAGAACTCAGGAAAGGTTCTCTGCAGCAAGCTAATACCTGGAATCGATGCAGATACATAGGCCCTGCTCAGGCCCAGTCAGAGGATCCAGCTCTGGGAATTTCGTGAGGAAGAGGCTAAAGGTGGAGTCTACAGTCCCTGGTGTTCTTACAGGCTCGGGAGAAATCCTGGTGCTGCAGGAGAACAGAGGACCTTAAGTCAAGGTCAGCTTTTGGGTTACTCCAGCACCTCTGCAGGAACCCTGAAGCGGTGGAAGGACAGCCCTTGGCCATTCCTCACTGCAGAAGCAGCCAGCTTGCACCCGCTGCCCCATTTAGCTCAGTATCCTGCCCCCCACAGGAGTGTTGCTTCGGCCCTGTGCTCTTCCCTAGCTTTTTGCTACAGATTACTGCCAGGGAGAGGATACTGAGCTAAGCGGGGCAATGGATCCGGCTGGCTGCTCTCAAGTGAGAAGAGAATGGCTAAGGGCGTGGCTCCAGTTCCATAGTTTAAATACATTTCGCTTAAACAACCCCTTGTTTTCACAGATCTTAAGCCTGCCGCTCACGGATTCCATTTGACACCCCAGGATCTGTCTGAAAAGGCAAGAAAGTTGTTCCTTACTCAGCTCCTCCAGTAACACTCGTGACAGCACAGATCTGTTGTTCTTTCTCCTACTGTCTCTTTTTCAAGTTGAAGAATCTGAAACAATTTAGTTGTTCCTTGTACCGAAGCTGCTCCACATCTTTGATCATCCCTGTCACTTCTCAATCTCTTCGCTACTCCTGCTATGTTCCAAGAGGAGCAAACGACCTTCAAAAGGGTGGGCTACCATTTACAATGCAAAATCACAATGGCATTCTGCATTTTTCTCTTCTTTTCTTAATAAAGCTTAATGTTTCAATCACATTTTAGAGTGCTTCTGAGCATGGAGCTGGCACTTTCATAGAACTACGTATCATAGTCCCCCAGATCTCTTTCCTAAGTGGTATCAGATAAGGCATCAGCATTATGATTGTTGCTCTGACACATGCATCATTTTCCACTTATTAATGCTGGATTTTCACCTGCTATTTTATAGTCAAATCACTCGCTGTCACAAAGTCCTTCTGCAACTCTTCACAGCTAGCTTTCCCTTTCACTGACACTCCACTAATGACAGAGCAAATGAAGCCGCAAAACAGAAGACAGAGGAGAAGCAGCTGAGGGAAAGAAACAGTCACGTGCCTCTGGCTGCTTCTCTGGTACCTGCGCCGTTTCCTACAAGCAGGGTTTACTTTGCAACAAAATGGAAGAAATCGGGAAACGAAACAGAAAGTAAAAAGGGACAAGAACGTTGGCAAGTGCACAGGGATCGTGTCACTTCCAAATACAGCTTGCTGAAACACTACCAGTTTGTCTAAGTATTTTCTCTCCAGAACCAATTCTGAAAGCATCTTTGCACATAAATACACACATTTTACACAGGAGGAAACTACGGCACAGAATGTCACTTGGCATACCCGTAGGGGAGTAAGGAAAAGAACCCAAGTCCCCTGACTTCCAGCACGCTACCGAAACCCACTGCCCTAGCTCCTGCTCTGCTCTCCTCTTCACCTCAGTATAGTTAAAGATTTGATTTATTGAAGTAGGGAGAAAGAAAGAAATTACACACCTGTTACCCCACATTCACTGTGTCCTCCATTTGCACTTTGTGGGGAAAGAAGCACTGATGGTCATATATTAGCTGGGCATGACCTACACAAGCCCCCTCCCCATTCTCCCCCAAGTCATTAGCAGCTTAAACGCACCCAGCCTTTGCAAGGCTTTCAGAACAAAACCAAAGAAACCTATCTTTCTGATTACCTTTTACTTGCTACAGGGGAAATATTTTTAAGAATATAAAAAAATATTTTCTTTAGAAAGGTATATGTTAACGTATCTGACCCAAGTGATGGGGGTGACTGGAGAGCTCCTCATTAGATCTAAACTCTCACCTATTCACAAGATCACAGAATCATAGAATGGTTGGGTTAAAGATCATCTAGTCCAACCCTCCCGCCATGGGCAGGGACATCTTTCACCACATCAGGTTGCTCAAAGCCCCGTCCAACCTGACCTTGAACACTACCAATGATGGGGCATCCACAACTTCTCTGGGCAACCTGTGCCAGCGTCTCACCATCCTCATCATAAAAAACGTCTTCCTTATGTCCAATCTAAACCTACTCTCTTTCAGTTTAAGACCGTTGCCCCTTGTCCTGTCACAACAGCACCTGAGAGAAGGGCTCAGTCTTTCTTATAACCCCCCTTTATATACTGAAAGGCCACCGTAAGGTCTTCCCGGAGCCTTCTCTTCTCCAGGCTGAACAACCCCAACTCTCAGCCTTTCCTCAGAGGAGAGGCGTTTCATCCCCTGACCATTTTCGTGGCCCTCCTCTGGACCCGCTCCAACAGGTCCCTGTCTTTCCTGCGCTGCGGACCCCAGAGCTGGACGCGGTACTCCAGGTGGGAGATGTTTGGGCTTGTACTGTTAGAGGTCCTCAAACGCTCCCTGATGTGCTTCATAGAATAACACCTCACCCTTTACTGACACGCCGCTTCCAGCATTTTAAAAGCGGCAGTGTCATTTTTAAGACACTAACGGCTCCCGCCTTGCCACGACCACGAAGTGCCACGCGGTAGAACTTGAGGAAGAAGGATGCGGATCGACCCTCCGCCGATTTGGACACCTGGGCGCTGAGGCGGGGCTGGGATGGGACATGCTGAGGTGATGTCTTCCCTCATGCCCTGGTGCTTCGAGGCCTAAGCAGGGCGAGCTGTCATCGGGCCGGGCCTGCCTCGGCCCTGAGCCTCCCG